TGGGAGGCTCTTCCCTTCTTCCACAGGAGGCTGGAGAAATACCAGGGAGACCAGGACCATGCTGATGATAAATGTGGGATTTCTAGTGATTCTTCAGGATTATTTCCATACACACAGACTGACAGAGACCTGCTGCAGCCAAAACACTCTCCAACACTCCCTCCCCACCTTTGCTCCTTCCCTAACTCTTCCATTGACCTTCTGGGAAGATCCCAAGGACCTGTTCGATGCCACTCTGCTGCAGAACAGGCACTTTGGAGGCTGCAGGATTGGTTTCCTGCCACCCCCAGCTGGGGTTGCACAGACACAGGCACTGCAGAATGGCAGGAAACGGGGTCAAGACATCCCTGGGGACGATTCCCACCCCTCCCTGTCCACAGGCAGGAGTGACCACGGCCAAGTGGTCTCGGAAAGTGCCTCTTACCCCGACTCACCCCACCAGAGGACACTTGGCCCATTGTGTCCCGTATCTCCGTGACAGATCTACCCCTGGAATGCCATTGTTACAGCAAGGATATCATTTGTTTTTGCACAACAGGAGAATTTATCTGACACAGATACTAAGCCCAAAGCCTTATTATGTTCCCTCTTCCTTCCTTGGAAAGCCACAAAGGCCTTTTTGAAGGATCGGTGCAGGAGAGGCTTTTCCCACCTCCCTCTGCCAAAAGGGCAGGCAAAGATGGGTTACAGCTTCTTGAAACAGGTTTGGCCTGATGATCCAAACCGATTGGAATTTGATTCAGATAAAAACATGGATGGGTATCGATCCATTCCCTCCAGGCTTGATTAATTCACCATGACAAATCCACGGAAAACAAGAAATGCAAGCCCTGCCCACAAGTTCCTCGGGGATAATGAAAGATAAGGAGCAGCCAGGCCCAGGTGAGTTACCACGAGGCCCCACAGATATTTGTTATCTTTTTTTTTTTTTCCCCCAGGTTTGACCCCTAATCACTTTATAACCATAATTACTTAATAACCAGGCTGTAAATCAACAGTGTGCAACAGGCACTCCATCCAGCCACACGCTGCCAGCCAGGGCTTACCTTTAAAATATTCAACTCACTTTTAAAATATTTAACTTACTTTTGAAATATTTAACCTCTTCAGGCTACCCAGTAACTGGCTGGGGGTTACCAAGGCCCCGAGAAGGGTTTTAATTCTTAAGCAGGTGGATGAAACCAAACCCCTTCTAAGAGCTCACGTTTTTCAGGGAACCCAGGACATCTTCAGGTGTTTGAAGTGCTTTTGTCGGGCATTTGACCTCGAAAATCAATCAGCATCATAAGACCCCGTGCTGTATGGAGCCCAAAGGTGTATTTCTTTCCCTGAGGGTGGTCACAGGGAGCAGATTTATATCAATTTTCCTCAGGCTGAACACATTCCCATCCCACAGTGAATTCAGTCACTACCTTAAAAACAAGGACCTGTCTCTCAAAACTCCCCGTGCTGGGACAAACTCCCAGTTTAAAGGCTCATCACTTGAAAATTCCCATTTTAAGGGCTGTGTTGGCTCTCCAGGAGGAGCTGCAGTGGCTCTGCAGGGACACAGCACTGGGATTCCTCACACAGAGAAGCCTTTATTTGCCTCACCGAAGTTATGCCATTTCCATTCTGCTTCCTGTTTCCCGTCCTTCCTGTTGGGTTATGGAAACCAACGGGACTCGACACTAAAATGTTCCAAAAGTAGGTGGTGCTCTCTCTCCAGCTTCTCCCCCATTCCCTGAGGGATTGGTAACCGTGAGCTGCAGGGATTGACGTCCACAGGGTTTATGAGTGACTAATCTGAGATCTTAACTCCCGAAAGTGCTGAGTTCTCAGATGTCTCCTTGCTCCATCATCCCAAGGAGCACGAAGAATTGCTTTCAGAACACATGCCAGGCCAGGTAAAACCTCCCCTCTGGTGCACAGACAGTAAGGACAGGAAGTTTTCCTGAAGGGCAGGGAGGATATTTGGAAACAAACCCCAGTGCAGGTGGAAAAGCGTTTGCCTGAGTGAATCCCATTTCTTTTTCTGAGGAAAAAACTTCTCTCCTTATGTGGGTAACTACTCACAGGAACAGACTGCCTAGAGAGGGTGTGGAGTCTCCCCCACTGGAGATATTCCAGAACCCCCTGGGCACACTCCTGTGGGATGGCCCAGAGTGGGGAGGTTGGACCAGATGACCCACCGTGGTCCCTCCCAACCTGACCCACCCTGGGATTCCACGACACGTTTCCACATCCCCACACCCTCAGCCAAGCTTGGGCTTTCCTGTGCGTGTGAAGATGTGCAGCTCCATCGCTCCTCTTCGCCAGGATGATGGGAAGGCCAATTTTGGGCGCTTCCAGCAGGTCACAGGGTGGCAGAAGTGCCACCACAGCCCGGAGCAAACACGGCTCCTCTCGGCCACGGGCCCACCCAGGGCAGGACACGCAGCAGGAAAGGAGCAGGGCTGAGCTGGCAAAGGGACAGCAGAGATTGGAGCAGCCTCTCCTTGCTGATATCAAGCACAGGCAGGCAGGAGCCCTGCAGGGACAGGAGCCGGGCAGGAAGCACCGCTGAGTCATGGGAAGGGCCTGTCCCCAGGGATCGGCCCCACAGTGGCCCCAGGGCAGGAGGAGCTGCCACTGGAACACCTGCAGGGATTCCACGAGCCCCATCGCTCCCAGTTGAGCAGGAGGAGGAGGAGAGAAGGAGTTCTGGAAAGCTGTGAAATGGCTCAAACCCTGCTTGCCCCCAATCCCGAAGGACGAGGGACAACTCTCCACTCCAACAGACCCCAAAACCCCACGATTCAAGAGGAGACACCCGAGGAACGTTATGTCGGGGTGCAAAACGTGGAGAAGATGATGGAAAAGGCACTTCCCCACTTTGGTTCCTCGCTGGGGTTTGTGCCTCGTGGTACCCACACGGGCACAGCCAGCCCTTCCCAGAGTCGAGAATCCCCAACCCCATCCCGTGTTCCCCTGGCTGGGTGCTTGAGATCCACCTTTCCCAGCTGGTGAAGAAGAAAGCCCCAAAGGAAACTCCCAGCTACTAAAAAGAAAAAAAAAAAAAAAAAAAAAAAAAAAAAAAAAAAAAAAAAAAAAAAAAAAAAAAAAAAAAAGCAGAACGACCTCGGCGCGGTCACACCCTCCCCTCAACGCCTCCCGCTGTCAGAACAAAAGCCCCAAAAAGTCATTTCCTGAAAGCACGAAACGCTGCTCTGAGGCAGCGGGGAGGGCCATCCATGACACAACATGGGCAAGGCAGGACCTTAAAGCTCCTGACATCACCTTTCCCGAGTATTTTGAGGAGCACTTGTGGTCCCGTGCTGCCTGACTGACTGAACTGGTGCTCTCTGGCACGGAAACGGCCACGGGGAGCGGAGCCAAGTAGAAACCCACTGACATCCACATCCTGAGGGTAATTTTAGCCCTGCAAGTATCCAGCCCTGTGTTTAGATAAATATCCCTCGCCAGCGAGAGGAGGCTGAGCCGGCTGCATCCAGCGGGATCAGGGCTTGCTGTAAATCCCGATCCAGTTCAGTAATTAGCAGTTTTATCTGCTGTTTTAATCATCAGAGCATGAACTCTGGCACAGCGGGGACGCTCCTGAGCCCTGGGTCAGCAGGACGTGCCCCTGGCTCTGCCTCTCATTAGGAGAGGCCACGGATGGCATGTTTTCCTTGGCATCCTCCCTCTGTGCTCGTTGCTGGAAAGAGCAAAAGCTTCCTTAGGAACTCCTACTGACATTGTGGAATCACAGAATTCCCTGAGCTGGAAGGGACCCACAAGGATCAGCCAGTCCATCTCCCGGCCCACCAATCCCACCCTGTCCCTGAGAGGATCATCCCAACCCTCCTGGAGCTCTGGCAGCCTTGGGGCCATGCCCACTGCCCTGGGGAGCCTGTTCAGTGCCAACCACCCTCTGGGGGAAGAACTTTTCCCTGAGATCCAACCTAAACCTCCCCTGACACAGTGCAAACCACTCTGGGATTCCGGGATTCCACGATCCTGCTTTTGTGTTCCGGACGCCGCTTCCCTTGTCCGCTCCACGAGCTCAGGAGGAGACACCGAACCAGAATTCCTTTCCTGCTTGCAGGAATCATGTGTGTCACCCCTTGCTCCAGCGCCCAGGCTGGGAGGAGCAGCCCCGCAGTGTTCCCTGTCCCAGCCCCGCAGTGTTCCCTGCTCTGTTCCTTGTCCCAGCCCCGCAGTGTTCCCTGTTCTATTCCCTGTCTCAGTCCCGCAGTGATCCCAGTCCCGGCCCTCCTGGCACATTCCCGGGAGCGCAGGGCCGGGACAGGTCCCGGCTGCGGGACTGGCCCGACGTGTGCGAGCAGGAGCTGCTCTGTGTCACTCGGGCGTGCCGGGACGCGGCTCCCGGGGCGCGGGGGAGGGACGGGGGCGAGCGCGGCGCTTCCAGAGGGGCTGTCCGGGGCTGGAGTTTCAACGATTGGAATTACAGGGAGTGTCCCGAGAGAACACGGGGCTGTAAACCCGATGATGCATCGCAGAATCACAGAGTGGTTTGGGCTGGAAGGGACCACGAGGATCATCCCGTTCCACCCCCTGCCGTGGGCAGGGACACCTCCCACTCTCCCGGGTCGCTCCGAGCCCCGTCCAGCCTGGCCTGGGACACTTCCAGGGATCCAGGGGCAGCCACAGCTGCTCTGGGCAACCTGTGCCAGGGCCTCCCCGCTCCCAGACAGGGATCCATCCCCGCCCGTTCCCGGCTCTCTCCCGGTTCCCGGGGCCGGTGAGGGGCGCGGTCCCCGCCGCCTCCTGCCCCTTTAAGGCTCGCCCCGCCCCCCGCGCGCGCCCCGCGCTGACGCGCGATCGCGTGGCGCCCTCTCTCCACCGCGGCCCCGCCCCCCGCTTTCTCCCGCCAATCAACGCGGAGGCCCCGCCCCCTCCCAGCTCCTCTCCCCGCCCCCCGCGGGGCGTGGCGGCTCCTCCCGCGCAGGCGCGGCGGGGCGGGCGGGAAGGCGCGGGCGGAAGGCGGGCGGGGCGGGGCGCGGCGGGCGCCGGGGCGCATGCGCGGGGGCGGCGGCGGTGGCGGCGGGGCGGAAGCGGGCGCGGGCGCGCGCGGCCCCTGTTCCGGCGGCGGCGGCGGCTGAGGGAGCGCGGCCCGGACCGACCCGACCGGCACCGGCACCCTCGGGGTACCCATGAGCTGAGCCGGGCCGGGCTGCGCCGAACCGAGCCGAGCCGCCGCCCCGGGCCCGGCGGAGCAGCGGGAGCCGCCTCCCCGGCGCCCCATGCGCGGCCCGCGCTGAGCCCCGCCCGCCCCCTTCTCTCGCCGCCGGGGCCCGGCGCTCGCCCTGCCGCCCGCCCTTGGATGCCGCCGCGATGGGCAAGGTGCTGTCCAAGATCTTCGGGAACAAGGAGATGCGGATCCTGATGCTGGGGCTGGACGCGGCCGGCAAGACCACGATCCTGTACAAGCTGAAGCTGGGCCAGTCGGTGACCACCATCCCCACCGTGGGCTTCAACGTGGAGACCGTCACCTACAAGAACGTCAAGTTCAACGTGTGGGACGTGGGCGGCCAGGACAAGATCCGGCCCCTCTGGCGGCACTACTACACGGGCACGCAGGGGCTCATCTTCGTGGTGGACTGCGCCGACCGCGACCGCATCGACGAGGCGCGGCAGGAGCTGCACCGCATCATCAACGACCGGGAGATGCGGGACGCCATCATCCTCATCTTCGCCAACAAGCAGGACCTGCCCGACGCCATGAAACCCCACGAGATCCAGGAGAAACTGGGCCTGACCCGGATCAGGGATAGGAATTGGTATGTGCAGCCCTCCTGTGCCACCACGGGGGACGGACTCTACGAAGGGCTGACGTGGTTAACGTCCAATTATAAATCCTAATGGGGGAGAGGAACTGTTTAGTCTACAAAGAATTAAAGAAACAAACAAAAAAACAAATTTAAAACAAACGGGAAAAAAAAAATAACCCACGTGGCTTTCCAGAAGAATGATTCTCTACTGAAAAAGTAAAAAAAAAAAAAAAAAAATTAAAAAAAAATCAAAATAAAAAGCATCCATAGGATTTACGATCACCTTTCTGCCACCCTCTCCTCCCGCACCCTTGGCTGGATTCCTGTTCTAACTCCTCCTGCTTGGCGTTAGGATGCTCTAACTTCGGAATGGGACACGAACACAGGCACTAGATGCTATGCCAGACTTCCAGCAAACAGGGGAAGGACACATTGTAGACTTGCTAAGTAACTTTTTTTTTGTTGTTGTTGTTTTTTTTTTTTTCGTTGTTTCCTCTCGATAGCCCTTTGCTGGTTTGAATTATTTCGGGGGGATGTTGGGGGAGGGGGTCCATTTTCAGTGTATGCTTTCTGGGTCTACTTTTTTTTTTGATTATATATATATTTTATTTTTTTTTTTGTCCTCTCTCTCTCACTTTGCTGTAGATTGCTACTTTTTTGCATTCCTGCAGGATATGTTGCTAGGTCGACTTCTCATCTAGTAAACTGAAAATTATTGCTTAAAATCAAACCGCAGTCTGTCTTTTTATATTAAGGACTTTTTGGTTTTTCCTTCTTTTTTTTTTTTTTTTTTTTTTTTTTTTTTTTTTTTTTTTTTTTTTTTTTTTTTTTTTTTTTTTTTTTTTTTTTTTTTTTTTCTTCTTTTTTTTTTTTTAAAGATCTGTTAATCTGTAACTAAACAGCGACTCAGTCTGGCTCCACGGTTCGGGCTAACGAGGGGAATTCTTGCCCGCAGTGGCGGAGAGTGGGAATTCCGCGTTTCGAGGTGCATTTCGGGCGCCGGGAACTGCAGGAGCTGCTTTTGGGATGTCGGCCGGGCAGCTCTGCCCCGCACATCCCGCGTCAGGAGGGGTGCAGAGCAGCTCCCCCACACCACAGAGCGAACCATGGCCCGTAGTTCTAGGTCAGTTTTGGGGTTTTTTTGTGGGGTTCTTCAAATGACGTTTAGCTGCAGGTTTTTTTTTTTTTTTCGCTACTCGCTGTCGGTTGCCCCGAGCGGGGGGAGGTTCCTTCCGAGCAGATGAGGCCGAGATACAAACGTTACAGCAGCGAGTTTTGCTTTAAATCGCAGATGTTCAGGCAGAAATCCAGCACTGACTCGCCTCTCTACCCTAAAAGGATCCCCGATCCTCTCCAACAGAAAGGAGGAAATCGTTGTTATTGTTGTTACTTTTCCGTGTCGGAGCCTCGAGGAAAGGGGCGCCCGGTGCTTTTGACACCAGTTATGGCCATTTTGAGGAAATCACTTCTTTGCTTTTCGTTTCGCGAGCCCGGGCCGAGCTCCTGCGGGCAGCTGGAGCCTCCCGCGTGTCCCGGGCGTTGCTGTTGTCCTGTGGAAAGGGAACTGTGTTGGATGTGCGGAGCCCATTGAGGAACTACTCAAAGAGAGCGGGGAGGGGAGAGACAGACAGACAGAGACAGAGAGAGAGAGAGAATCGACGCTGAATGTAAACTTCCATAATTAGTTCTTAAAGGGCAAGCAGCTCGTTAGCCATGTCACAGCCCGCAGAGGCGACTGGCCAATCCAAAACCCCACCCAGGGCGAGTATTTGCATAGAGAACTCAAATCAAGTGTTAATTAACGCTGGGTGCACAAACTGTTCAAGCAGCTGGTTCTTATTCAGCCTTAAGGATTAACTTCAGATTTCCTCAAGGAGTTAAAACTCCGGTGGGGAATTCTAGGAATGTATGCTACTAAACCAGAAGAAAATGGCTTTTATTTTCCTTTTTTTTTTTTTTTTTTCCCTTATTTTCCCTCTCCTTAGTTTCTTTGTTGTTTTGTTTTTTTTTTTTTTACTTTTGATTTTCCAAGAATATTAGTTTTACATGGAATTGGGGGCATTACACTACACTGCTGCAGTGGTGACTCTGCGTGGAGAGTACGTTGTGTTAATGGAGCTCTTACCAAAGATGTGTGTGGGAAGACAAAAAAAAAACAAAATCCTGAATTTCGCTTCTGAAATCCAATGCTTTGCTCAAAGTCCTTTTCGAACGTGGTTCCAAAAAAGACTTGTCTGGATGTGGGTTTGCAAATGGGACTGGATGGGTTCTTGGTGCTAGAAGATAGAGCACTGATGGACTTTTTGGGAGCTAGGAGGGAGTCTGAAGAAGCTCAAGGTAGAAATAACTCTTCAATCTCAGCCCTGATGAAGAGGAAGTGGGATTAGTTTACTTTAATCCAAGGCTTTTTTGCCGTCGGAAAAAAATCATTGCTCTATTTTCCAGCTTTTCTTTTCTTTTCTCTCTTTTTTTTTTTTTTTCTTTTCCTGTTGCTGTAACTTAACAAAACAAGTGTGGTGGTATAAAAAAACTTTAAAAAAAAAACAAAAACAAAAACAAAAAAACAAAGAGTATGGTTACTGTTTTCTTCTGGAGCATCAATAAAAATAGCCAAGCACAAAAGTAAATGCCTAAACTGGAAAACTTGAAGCTCTATTAATGGTTCTTGAACTTTTCTTAAGCCTGTTCTCGGTCAACACGAAAACTTCAGTCCCTTCATTTCTCGTCTTGAGTTGTTCCCAAGCGCTGGGGCAGCCTTTGCGTTGAGTTTGACTTCACGACTTTGTATTTCCCCTTCAGTGACTTTGTTATTCTGTTTTTGTAGGTGAAAAGGAAACTGCTTTTGCTCCTGGAATTTTTTTTAACGGTTTGGGGTGTTTTGTTTTTTGTTTTTTTTTGTTTTTTTTTTTTTGGGGGGGGGGTGGAATGGATGGGGAGAGAGAAAGGGAGCGAAAAAGTTCCTTTCGAAAGACGTGGCGGAGACGTCAAAACTAAAGGGCCGTCGGTACCGACCGAACCCCGCGGGTTTCACTTCCAACGTGTCCTTTCTAGGCTGGAGCTGGACCTCCCCCACGAGGTAGTGGCTCACAGGCAGGATAAAAGTGGGAATCCTGGACGAGACCCGGTGATTTCCAAACCCCTCTGGAGTGCCAAGCGCGCCGATTCGTGTCCGTGTGCGTTCCGTGGAGTGAGTTCTGAGTGTGGCGTCAAATCCTGTCCCACCAGTGACTGAGTTTGTGGCCTGTGACACCCCCCCCCCCACCTTCCCAACTGGAGTAACCAGGAATTCTGTGTTCTCAATATGGCTGTAGTGTTGGTAAAGAACTAATAAGCAGAAAAATAAAGCGATTACCCAGCGGAGCTCTCCTGGTATGTCACTTGTGTTTAATGACGAGAGAAGCAGAGAGGGGCAATCTGGTGGCCTTGTGCTGAGAGATAAAGAGGGCTCTGTTCTGGATCCCCCCAGCTTGGAAGCCTGGCTGTGATTTCCTTGGAGAATTAGATGAGGGACTGTTTTTATAAAGAGGATGGTGCTTCTTTAATATTCCTACTTGGCGTCTGATAATTGTGAGCCAGTTCCAGTGTCAGGGTGATCCAGCCCTGTGTAAATTGGGAAGGGCTGTCACTGCTGCATCCCACGGCGGGAATTGCTTGGAAAGGGAGGATTGGAGGCCGGTGTAGGACGTGCAGGGATGGACGGAAGGGCTGCTGAGCGACTCGAGGTGCTTGTGGAGCGACAGATGTGACGCTGGGGCTCTGTGGTGCCTGAGCAGGACACGAGCGAGCCGAGGAAAGGACCTGGGCAGGTGCTGGGGCTGTGGGAGGGCTGGGATGTGAGCAGTGGGACACAGACCCTGTGACAGCTGCCATCCCACGGGAGAGGCAGCAGGGTCACAACCTGGAGCTGGGGCTGCTTGGGCTCTGCTGGCAGAGCCTCCCAGGTGGCTCCAGGTGCGAGGCCGAGTCTGGGAACTCTCTCCTCGTTGGGAATCCTCAGGAAGCATCATTACCTGGGCTAATCAGCGGCATCCCATGGCAGAGGGTTGGGAATAGACGGTCTTTGAGGTGCCTCCCCACCCAAAGCATTCCATGGTTATCCAGCCAGGTGGGAGTCCCTGGCTCAGGGATGGTGGATCCCCCGCCAAGCCTTCCCCTTCCAGGGTGTTGGGGCTGTGTCTACCTGGATGTCAGCTCAGGGTGTGGCTGTGTAAATGAACTTACTCTGGCTTAATTAAGCTCCTCGGAGTGGGGAGACAGGGCTCCAGAGGAGGAAACTAGTGTGTCTCTCTCTCGCTGTAGTAGTGAGTCACATCTCAAAATGCCGGCGCTTATCGGGCCGCGGGGAGCGTGACTCCCAACCCTGCCCTGACTCACTCAGGGCTCTGCCCCCACTCCCAGGGCCCTGCTCCTCGTGGACAGGGCTTGGGAAAAGTGTGCCTGCCGTTCCTAACGTGAAAATACCCCTGCTAATCCAAGTCCTCCTAAAGGGATGTGTCTTGCTTTAAAAACGTGGTCAGAACAGCTGGGCTCGAGGTCTGTGAGAGCCAGGGGTGGACCTGAGGTCGTATCCCCTTCCCACTGGGAATTGGGGATGGGAAAAGCAACTGCCAGGGGTGGAGAGCTCGCTGTGGAGAGTGGAAAAGCAGCCTCGGTGTGAGCACTGTGACTCAGACTTCCCTCTAAAGCACGACTGTGCTTTTTTATCTTGGATTTGCTTCCCGTGTCTGTCCAGCCTGACGGGCTCAGCGCGTGGAATCCGAAATCCCCTCGGCTTTGGAGCCTTCTGGAAGGGAAAAAAAACCCCCAAAACTTCCCCCTCGCCTCATGGGGAAGAATCAGCTTCCAGGGGTTGTTGGGGAGTGAGTGCCACCTCTGCTGACCAACTCAGTTCCTCTTCTGGGGTCCCGGCACCGCTCCCGGCTGCGCTTCGGAAACGCGTCTGAGCCGACGCTCTCAGGGCTTCGGGCCGAGGTGGAACCCCACAGTCCGGCTCACTTTCAAAACTGGGAGCACCCAGCGAGCAAAATGGTGTAATTTTAGCCCTGTGTCAGCTCCGGAGGGTGCAGGGCTGAGTCAGAGCCCGGGGAGCTGGCGGGGAAGGTGGTTTTTTTGCAGGCGGGAAATGGGGTGTGCGGTGGGTTGGCCAGGAAGTGCCTCTGCTCTTGCTTAAGAACAGGTATCTCCGGCCTCCTTAAACAAGGAGGGGGGGGAGAAAAAGAAAGAATCGAGATGTGACTCATCTGCTGAGTCTCACGGCGGTTTAACAGGCTCTGGTTCTTGCTTTGCCTCTCAGGTTTTCCCTTCCAGAGGATGCACTTCGCTCCTCTGCTCCTGGTTTCTTGAAGTTGCATCTCCCAGGACAGCTTTAGTTAGGAAAAACTCTTCAGCAGGGTTTAATGGGTGTGCTGAGAGATGGAAATGGGCGATGCTTGGAAATTGGTAGCGCTTCAAACGCTTTGTTTTCTCTGTGAGTTTTCAGGTGAGGGCAACTCCCAGGGGTGCCACCAGCAGCTCCCGGATCTGCAGAGGTATCCTGGTGCCCCAACTGCCCTTCAGTGGGGGGAAACTCCCTCGGTGGTTAAACAGAGGAGAGGAGGGAGCCAAGCCCAGAGAAGCTGTGGCTGCCCCTGGATCCCTGGAAGTGTCCAAGGCCAGGCTGGACGAGGCTTGGAGCACCCTGGGCTAGGGAAAGCTGTCCCTGCCCATGGCAGGGGGTGGAATAAGATGGGCTTTGGGGTCCCTTCCAACCCAAACCATTCTGTGATTCTGGCCCTGTGAACTCCTGAATTATCCCCGTGCCTGTGCCTGGAACGGATTCCTTGTTTGAACCACAGTGGGGGTAACGCTGCCTGGGCCAGGCACCGCCTTCATCCCAAAGTTTCGCTCTGGTGGAGCAGGAGGGGATGTTTTTCTCTCTCAGCATCGCAGGAGATGAAAATCCACAGAAAGCCGCAGCAAACGCTGCGCTGATCCCATGGTTGTTTGTGGAAAACCCACTTTTCTTTCCCATTTTGGGCTGAGCTGCCAGCGATGCTCCTGAGGGTCCATCAGAGCCTGGATGGAGGGGAGCAGAACCCCAGGATGCCTCTGCCATCCCATTCCAAGCTGCTGCTTGGAGAATGAACTCCCATCCCACGAAGGGTGGGAGCTGCAGGGTTTCCAGGCTGGGTGCTGGCGGCTCCTGACCGGGCAGCACCGCCAGCTCGGCGCTGGCTCCGGAGGGGACTTTGCACTTTGCCCACGGAACGTGGGACTGCCTGCTCCTCGCTCTGTCAGTGTTTGCTGGTTTTGCCCCCCAGGAGCTTTGTACATTTTCCCTTGGGAAATGGGGGGAATGTCGTGGAGCAGCACAACCCCCTGGCCGGTAACCTCAGTGCAGCGGGATGTGCCGGTGCAGCTATCCCAGAACTTAACACCTGCCAGGGCTCCTCTCCCCACAGGGGCTGGATTAGCCTGCAGCTCACCCACCCAGCTCTCTGGGAAGCTTTTCCTAGCACGTCCCTGCAGCTCCCAGGCTGCTGCCCTGACTGTAACCAAGCCCATGGGGAGCAGGGGAGCAGGGATTGGGCTCTACCTTTCCCTCCAGAGCGAGTCTGCCTGTTAAGTGTTCAAACTGCACCGTGTTTAAATGTCCAAATTCCACCCTCTATATCCTAGTTACTCATATTTTCAATACAATGAGTGTTCTGGGCTGGGATGACCCACACTGGACTGGTTTTCTTGTCAGCACAGGAAAACAAAAGCATTTTGAGAGGGAGGTGAGGGGCAGCAGCAGCAGGACAGACAGTGCTGGTGCGCCTGGTGAGTCCTGACTGCCCGGCACAAAGGTTTGGGATGAGCTTCCCCGGCACCTGCTCGCTGGAAGATGAGCCAAGCTCAGCAGGGCTGGGGTGGAAGGCGCTGAATCGCTGCCAACGAGCTGTCCCTGGATCTCGCTCAGGCTCATCTTACAGCCTTGGGCTCGCTGATGAATCCAAAGTCCTCCAGCCCTGGCCTCCAATCATCCTGAGGATGAGGTGTTTGGGAGCCAGGATCACCGGCCAGGCTGGATCTGGGAGCTCCTGCCGCTCTCCTGCCATCCAGGACCTGCTTCTGGCCACGTTGGCTGCGGCATTCCAGCCTCTCCAGGGAGGGCTGGGGATACTGCAGGCCTGGGATGTGTTTTCCTTTAAGGAAGGCTGCCTGCAGCCTGGCAGCTGCAATCTCGGGATCTGGCTCCTCCCGTACCTGTTCGGCCGATTCCCCCGCAGAGAAATCCTCCCCTGCATTTTCCCCTTGACGGGAGGTCACGCTTTCAACCGCCCCACCAACACTTCCCAGCTTCTCCTGCCGTGATTTTGGAAGGGGGGTGCATCTCCCCACAGGGACAAGCTGCAGCTTTTCCACCTTGCTGGGATTTGCCTGTGGGTTTCCCCGACTCAAGGCCTGAAACCTCGTCCCCCAAAACTACACTCGCTTTTTGCCTCCTCACCCCTCTGGTGTTCCCCTGGAACGCTGACACGAGGGAAAAGGTGCTCCACAGCTCCTCCTTCCCCTCTCCCAGGCTCTCCAGCGCTCCTGCTCCCCCCGGAAACTCTCCTGAGCAGTGAAACTGGTTGATCCCATCGACGCTGGAGGAGTTCTGGCACCCCAGCAGGATCTGGGATTAACTCCTTCGGGTGTTTGCCAACTTCTGGGCAGCCCTGGCGCATATTTAACTCTTGGGCCTTTGGAAAATCTGGAGCTTCCCAGCACTTGAGGGTTTATTGCCAGTCCCCCGCGGGCGCTCCACGACAGACACGGAGGGTTTTGCCGCCGGTTCCGTTGTCTGGAGAGGAGGCCCCCGGCACCCCCAGCTTCCTGCTGGGCTCTGTCCCACCTCCCAGCACCTGCCCTGGGAAAATCAGCTGCTTGTTTAGGGCTCTGGATCCGTGGATGTGTTTGACATCTGCCAAATCCCCGGGCGGCAGCGGGGAAGGCTCTGGGATATCCTGAGCCGTGCGGGGCCGGAGCAGCCCGATCCCAAACCTGCAGTTCAGGCCGGAGCACTTGCAGATGGCAGATAGGGAGGGAGAGGTGACTCATGGAGATTGAATATCCTGCTGCTCCAGCCTCGCTGGCAGCGATGGCTCAACACACAGACGGCAGATCCAGCCGGCTCCGTCATTCCCAGTTTTCTTTTGCCTCCGGGTGCAGGAGAAAATTGGGGAAGGCGGGAGGTGCAGTGGCCAGGATGCTCCTGGGGCAGGAAGGGGATGGGGGCTGCAGGGATGGGAGGGCAGAGAGGAAGAGCAGTGCCTGGGGGAGGCTCTTTCTTCCTCAAACACGTTTATTTCCATTGGTTTCATCAGGAAAACCTGGAATGCCGCATCCCTTTCCCG